AGTTAAGAAATTTCAGGGAACGAAAACCAAGAAAGCTGAAGCATCATCGCAAACCCCATCGTCAGTGCCAGTAATCTCGCCGGATCTTTTCAAATTGCCGTCGCAAAAAATCCTTCTCATGGACCGAATTACTGTTGGTTGGTATTTTAAGAAAATTGCTCCTCATGGACAGAAAACTGGCCTGTTTGGACTGATCCGTTAATTGGTGCTTGGATTTTTTGACTGTGAATTTTCCATTGCTTTTTTTTTTAGGATCAAGGAAATTTGTAATATTGGATTTTGGAGTGCCTGTGCTTTTGACTGACTTCTTCATCCCCTCAGTGGCTGAGATAGCAGCAGTTTCGATTGATGTTTGGTATTTGGGCGAAAGCATTGATGGTCAGCGATTGTTGACTTCGACGGAGATCAGCCGTAAAAGTATCGCTGTACAGGATTTCCAGCCTACAATGCGAATCAGATTTTTAAAAGTATGATAAGTTGTGACAAAGTTTGAAGCAATTTCGATGCGATTTTAAAGAATAGCAAATGGCGCCCACCACTCCTTTTCTCATTCTTTCCTGCATTCTGTATTCACAATACGCCTTCGACACTTTGCCTTTCACGGTCAACCTGGATGCTACAATCGGCTTACTCGGGATGTATATGTACAGGCGGCGATTGTTAGCTTGATATGTGCTGCTGAGAATGAAAAAAACCTGTTGGGCTAGCTCAGGTGCATCCCAGTAATATCGAGGGTTGTAGATTTTCTCGGAATGAATTTGGCCTTTTTGGAAAAACTGGCCTTTTTGGACTGATCCGTTAATTGGTGCTCGGATTTTTTGACTGTGAATTTTCCACTGCATTTTTTTTAGGTTCAAGGAAATTTGTAATTAAGCTTTGTTTTTGCTGCCACAATTGTGAAGCATGCTTACACACAGTATTGATGGCTTGTTTAGCCGTAACTGATCTTTGTTTTTATTTGCAGCTAACCTACATCGGACGACAGGCTTTCAATACAACATGCCGAATTCCCGTGGGCCTCTTCTTTGGACACCGCTATTTCTCATCCTGGCAAACGTACGCTTCGCCAAGCATGCAACGCGAATTTTTGGTTCCGTTCCATCAAAAACAGGTGATTATTTTCAGAAAAAAAAATTATAATTTAAGCAAATTTATGAGCCCCCTAAGATCCACGCTAATTTTTTAGCCGCTCGAGAAGATATCAGGTAGAGGGAGCCTCGATGTTGCATTTCAAATGACTTCAAAGCCTCTACACTGTCAGGTGACCGCATTTCAGGAAGGGACACTTAGAGTTACTTATCCTAAGATTTCAGCGCTCTAGCTTCTCAGATCCCCGAGTTTGGACTTGTGCCAAAAAACTTTGGCGTTCCCGTACGCGTCTACCATGTATGCTTGGGATTGCATGTCACTTTCACATTGGAAGTTTCATTTCATTAATTCCATCGAAAGAAAGAGGGAAAACGTAAGAAATATGAAATACGTAAAAATAGTAACAATTAGTTCAGTAATTTTTGTGTAAGAAGCTATTTGGTTCTTTGTAATTACGGCGTTGTCCAAGAAGACACGCACTAAAGGCACTGGAATGGAAAATTTCGGACAACGCTTGTGTGCAATAATTTTTTTTTAACCAAATTAAAGTGAATTGTTGTGTTTTTGTACACTTTTGAACTGAAATTTCACAAAAAATGCTTCTTGTCCACGATAAATACAGTCCCAACGCATGTTAAGGCGCCTTGTACGGTGCATGAAAGTTTCCACGCCAGAATTATTAACACTGGAACCACAAAAGCTAAGGAGCGTTTCTGAAATTCTTTTTGGAAAATAACATAAAAATGGAACGGCAGCAGCATTTCCGTTTATCTCTGACTAGGAGCAGTGAAATTTCTAGACTGCGATTGTGGTACGCCATCTGCGGCAGTTAAGCGAAGATTTACGCTGTAGA